AGTGGCAATCTGGGGGGAAAGGGGGGGGGGAGTGGGGAAGGGGGAGCAGGGGTAAAGGGGGGAGCAGGGGTAAAGGCATCTTTGGCCACAGAAATGCACAGAAGAGGGAGAGAAAACCACGAAAACGGAAGTGGGACGGGGCGAGAAAAAGAAAGGGGGAAGGGATTCTCCCAGCTGCCTTGTGAACGCCGGGCCCGTCAGAGTCTCTCCCCCACCTCCCCCCACAGAGTCTGTCTCGATCACCCCCCCACTCACTCCTCCGTCTTGCCCTCCCTGCTGCGCCCCCCCTCCAGCTTTGCCTCCCATTAAATATACAACACGCCGTTTAAAAAGCCCCCCCACCAAAAAAAGCAAAAAAAGCCAGTGTCTTGACCGAGACAGTGCAAGAGAAATAGAAAGAAGTGGCTTGAGAGAGAGAGGGGCTGCCCTGGAGACTGAGGGATGGCAGACGATGAACCCACCCCCCAAACCAGAGGATCCTGTACAGACGTATAAAAACAAACACGTTTCGAGGAAGGGGGGTCCGAAATGTTGGCGGGGACAGGACCGGGCCCACCCCCGTGTCGGTGTTGTGTTGGCGGGACGACACCAACCTTGTAGAAAGGCAAACCGAGAGTGGCCGGAAGTGGCCGGGGAGCTGCTGGACTTGGTGGTGGGAACAGACTTGCCCTTTCCCCCAGCCGGAAGGGAGCAGCAATTGCGGGGAACAGAGGTGTGCATGTAAAAGGCAAAGAGGGTGCACGTAGGTTTCGATGAGCGCAGCAGGGATTCCCCGCGGAAGTGGGGTTTCGGAGCTGCCGGTCCTGAATTCGTAGAGAGAGGTGCTCGGGTTCAAGGAGGTCCTGGAACCGCCACCTCCAAAACCCCGGATGATGCTGAGGCCTAGGTGCCGTGCCAAGACGCTAAGGGCACACTCTGCACGTGGGCCAGAGGCGATGCTCCCTCTAAGCGGTGGAGTCTTGTGAGCAACAACTCCACTTTGTGAGCTACTGGCATTAAAAGTTGTGAGCGAGCAATTTGGCTGCTGCATAAAAATGTGTGAGCCGGAGGCTAAAAAACTGCGAGCTGGCTCACACTAACTCAGCTTAGAGGGAACACTGGCCAGAGGTATGACCCACGTGCCAGCCTGCCACGTATGGAGGAAAAAAAATGGCTTTGCTTGGAGTATCAGGATGCAGCATCAGTCACTCAAGCCGGGGCAAGCTATGGCAAGTGAGCATGCTTCATGGGCCCATGAAGGAAAGAACGTGTGCTTTCGAGTTGTCCATTGGCCAGGAACAATACAAGTGACAACAGAGAGACCCCCATCTAGTGCCTTTAGTTTTGATGTGCGAGCATCAGCGGACGAAGCTTCCCATAGCACGGAGCTACAACACAGGACATGTTCCCACCCGGTCCCACATCTGGAAGAGATGCCACATCTGCTTCTGGTGCGTGCGGGTAAGAGGCGCGGCGGACAGAAGCGTGCCTGTAGCCGCTCAGTTCTGGCGCTTGCTTGCATGCAGAGAGGATGTGGGTGCGCTTAGAGAGGAAAAACGTCTCTCCGCACGAGCCTGGAACAAAACTTGGCCTGGTCGCCTAGGGCGAGCGGCACCGCCTCTCCAGGCGACCAGGCAGCAACATTTTACATGAGTGCGAGTGACAAAACGGATAGGTGAGAGAGAGATTGTTTTGTGAGCCGGTAACCTGGGGAGGGGGACGGACGGGTTTGCAGAGCTCGTAGGTTTGTGCACGGTTGACGTGAGTACGTTGGTGAGCTGTTCACGTCCACAGGTTGGTGCGGGGCCTGCGAGGGCTGCCAGTCTTTTGAAAGGGAAAAACAAAACAAAACCCCAGACGTTCTAAGGAGGAAGTCATAGTGATGGCCGCGCAGGCCCCCCCACCCCACCCCGTACTTCCCCCCCAACGAGAAGTCCAACTTCCGAGGATTCCCTCTCCCCTCTTGGACCAAGGGGCCTTGGGAGGAGCCGCCGTCCCCCTCGCACAGTCCAGTCTGAGCAGTCTCTTCTTCCGCGATGTGGTGCAGAGCAGGCAGAAGAAAGGGGTCTCTCCGGAAGAAGCCCCCAGTCCAGGAACCCTCAGCACTGCAGGGAGGCAGAAGCAGGAAAGGGGGACGGGGGACGGGACAAAATTTACCACCCCGCTTTTTGTTTGCATTTTGTTTACTATTTATTTATTTATTTCCCAAATTTATATCCCGCCCTTCCCGCAAACAGGCCCAGGGTCGATCACAACAAACAAACAGGCCATTTGGCATCATAAAAAGACAATAATAAATAGTTCATTCAGGGGTCATTTCCTGCGGGGAGCGCACAGGAGCAGAGCTCCGGCAGTAAGGAGCTCAGGGGGCGGGCACATGCAACAAGCCCCGCCCTCTGCTCCCAGCAGCCCTCAGTCGGCCACGAGGAGCAAGAAGCAGCCAGGTAAATTGCAGAGCCTCCCCCCCCCCCGGCCCGCCTTCAGGTACAAGCTCTCCCTCCTCTGTGAGGGCAGATCTGTGCGTCCCCCCCCCCATAGCTAGCAATCCAAAACTGTCCAGTGGCACCTTTAAGGCTAAGTTTTATTCAGGTACAAGCTCTCCTTCCTCTGCAAGGGCAGATCTGCACATCCCCCCCCCAATAGGAAGAGGAGGAGGAGGAGGAGGAGAGGAGATTGGATTTATACCCCGCCCTTCACTTGGAGTCTCAGAGCGGCTCACAAGCTCCTTTCCCTTCCCCTCCCCACAACAGACACCCTGTGAGGTGGGTGGGGCTGAGAGAGCTCTTTCGAGAACTGCTCTTTTTCAAGGACAGCTGTGCCAGAGCTTGTGACTGACCCAAGGTCACATCAGCAGGTGCAAGTGGAGGAGTGGGGAATCAAACCCGGTTCTCCCAGATTAGAGTCCGCGCACATAACCACTACACCAAACTGGCTATTTGCCCTTGTGTTCAGGTCACTCGCACTTTGTAACGAGGCTTTCATTGGGCCCTTATATGTTTTTAACTGTCTTTCTAATAAATGCATGCATTTTTTTGTATATCACAAGTTTACCCTAGGTTTTTAACAATGGCCCTTCATCAGGATTTTTTCCTTAGCCCTGTGGTTCTCGATCCCAGTTATTTGGTTAAGTTTGTCCCCCCACCCCCCCGTGTCTTACTCTTTTTCCCACGAGCTGCAGGGAAAACCAAACCCTGCCAGGCTCCATCCGGAGAAGGGCCGGGCAGAATCCCGCAGACTCTGCGCTGCTTCACGTCGGCGCAGAGACCCCTTTTTGGCCGCCCGTCCTCACCTCGTTCGTCCCGCCTCCGCCGCCCCCGCCTGGGCTCAGCAGCCCCGTCTGCTCGTTCCGCTTGTCCGTCTTCATCTCCACCACGGTGTCGTCGGGATTCCCTTCCTTGGGGGTCCTGGCAGGGGAGCCAAAGGGACATCTGAGCGTGACGTTCCAGGGACAGGTGGCCGAGGGACCCGGCGGCATAAGATTACTTGCCGGGAGCGCTTTGATCCTCCTTCACCCACCCACACACACACACCCGGCCCAAGGCCCTTCATCCCATCTGGACTTTGCAGTCGGAGGAGCAGGGGCTTGGTGTTAAAAATTAAACATCTCTGCTCCGAGGCTGTTGCTGTATTTGCATATGTTTGCATGTGCCTGGGCATCAAATGAGGGGGATTTTGCATAAGCCTCGGGTGGGCAAGTAAATGTTAAACAGGGAACATAGTTAGGACTGAGCATGGGCATGACATTACCCATGTGAGCAAAGGGCTCTTTAATTCGCTCCTCTCTCATGTGAGCAGAGGGCTCTTTACCCCACCCTTTGTTGTATTCTGCCCTGAGCCCTGCGCTGCAGGGGAGGGTGGGCTAGAAATCAAATCAAATAAAA